TCCCCCCCCCCTCCCTCCTCCTCCCCCCCCCTCCCTTTCTCCTCCTCCTCCTCCCTTTCTCCTCCTCCCCCTCCTCCTCCTCCTCATCGTACTCTTCCCGTCCCTCTTCTTACTCCTCCCGTCCCTCACCTCAAATCACCATCCTCCTTTCTTCCCCCCCCCCCCTCTCGCTCCTCCTCGTTCTCCCCTTCTCCTCCTTCATCAAACTCTTACAGCGGGATGCAACGGGACGCTCGGACGCAAGGATCGGACGGCAAGGTGCAGGGCGATTCTCCTTCAATGCCTGCTCAGGGCTACTCGCAACCGATTGCTGCTCCTTCCGCCCCTCCTCTCTCTAGTCCTCCAAGAGTCTCCTCCCCGACAACCAACCCCCCAGCCCCTCGTTCTCCTTCCTCTTTCCTCTCGCCCACTTCTCCCTCACCAGCTCCGCCCAGGGCTCCAACCTCCTCTTCCTCCTCTTCCTCCTCCACAGCTTCCTTTGCCTCTCCTCTTGTCCCACCCACCCCTCCCACATCTGGGAGTTCGGACAACAGAGGGCTCGCCTCCCCGGACCAGCAGCAGGCGACGGGATCCCGTGGTCCTCTGATCAGCTCCTTGCCTCCAATTCCTCAGGGTGGGACCGGCAGAGGCGGCAACATCGGTCGACCCCCAGCAGCAAGCGGAGGATATCAGCTTCCTGCTCAAGCTCCTCTCATTTCGACGCAAGAGGCTTCGCAACCATGTGGAGCGGAAGGGGCGTGCTCGGGCAAGGGCCGGTGTGTCGGGGAAGGAGAGGAGGAGCGATGCCTCTGCGAGCCGGGCTGGGCGGGGAAGCAGTGTGAGCTCGCTTGCCCTGGCCTGACGCAGGAGGGGATGTATTGCAGCGGTGCTGGGTCTTGCTCGCCTAGTGGGGTCTGCCGCTGCGACAGCGGGAGATGGGGGGAGGCGTGCGAGAAGCAATGCCCCGGAGGAGACGTGAACCCTTGCGGAGGGCATGGCGTGTGCAGCATGCACGGGACTTGCTCGTGCGAGGAGGGATGGACGGGACGAGACTGCAGGCGGCTGGTCGGATCCCTCGGTGCTGCCGTCCTGTCCCGCGTGGAGGGTCTGTGCGTGGGATCTCAGGTGAACCTGCCCGAGGGATGGAGCTTGTCGGAGCAGGTGAGGAGCATGAGAGAGAGAGCACGAGGAGAGGGGGGTGGTTGAAGGGAGGTCTGCAGGTGTCGTCCAACGGCATCGCTTCCACCCCCCAGGGAGCTGACGGGACGGAGGCGCTGCAGCGAGTGGTGGAAGGCTCCTCCCCCTTCCCCTCCCAGCTGCCAAGCAGAGCGCAGCTGAGGTTCTCGCGGGAAAGCAACCAGCTGCAGCTGCGGCTGGGGGACCGGATGGCGTCGGGGACTTTCTACATCTGGCATCCTGCTGATGATGGAGATCATGGCATGGGCCTCAACGACTCCCCGGCCTCCATCGACCTCGTCCTCACTCAGGTTCCCTCCTCTCACTGCTCCCGCCGCGTCTTCTCCCCCCCCCCCCCTTATCCCTCCTCCTCCTCTTCCTCCTCGTCCTCCTCATCTTGTTCCCGTCTTGCCTTTCCCATCCTCTGAATGTCCTTTCTGCCTGCTTCCCTCCCTCCTCCTCCCCCCTCCTGATCTTCCCCAGGGCTCCATCGTCGGTACCATGCATGGACTGCTCTACTCTAACTCACACGGCAAGCTTGTCCTCGTCCTCGGTGACCCCGGCGCTCCTCGTCCTCGCCCTACAGCCTCGGGCTTTGACGAGCGCGTCCTCCTCCTCATGCTCACCAAGTCCAACGCTCTCCTCACCTCTCGCTGGCCATGGCCGAAGCCAAACAGTATCCCTTCCTTCCGCCAGCCCGTCCCCCTCCAGCTGGACCCCAGCCCGTGGCCCCCTCTCAGCCTCCCAGGGGCAGTTTGACCCCCTCGGACCAGCTGGGAGAAGGGCAGGGGACGCAGTCACCATCTAGAGCTTCTCAGCTGGGGTCGAGCTCGGGTCAAGACCTCGCGGCACCCCAGCAACCGATGGAGGCCGAGCGTGTCCAGAGCCCAGTAGAAGCTCAGCAGGACGAGGCCAACAAGCCGAGCGAGACGGATAACCAGCTTGTGCTGCGAACCTGCTCATGCTGCATGCAACAGGGTGACGGGTATAAGGTCAGCACTGACATCCACCTCCTCCCTCCTCCCCCTCCTCTTCCCTCTCTCCGTCCTCCGTCCTCCCTCCTTCTGGTGTACCTCGTACCTCGTACCTCCTCTCTTCTCTCCCCTTGCACCCTTCCGCTGCTTCCCTCCCCCTTCGATATCCCTTCCTTTTTCTTCCTCGTCTCCTTTCTCCTCCTTCCCCTCCCCCTCCTCACCGAGACTGCTAGGAATGCTGCGACAAAATCGACCGCAACCTCGTCGAAGCCTTCGCGCTCTGCAGGCGTTTTGTATCCGCATTCGGACCCTCCTCCTCCTCCTCCTCCTCCTCCTCCTCCTCCTCCTCCTCCTCGAAGGGGAGGCAGAGCTTCGGAGGCTCTGCGATAGCAGAAGAGGCTCAGAGGATGCCAGGAGGGCAGCTGGACGTAGGTCGGAGCAGGCAGGAAGAAGCTGGGGAGCGAGGAGGAAGGCACAGGAACGGAACGGACAACGTCATCTCGTCCGTGTACGAAATCCTTCGCAACCAGAGCACGGTGAGCTTGTTGTTACTGTTCCCCTCCTCCTCC